AAGAATGATTCATATTAATTAAGGATATTTCCCCAAAACAACTGAGATAGCCACATGCTAGTAAAACAACATAAACTGTTTTTAATCATAAAACTAGGCTGGGTATGTGGCTGGTGCCTGTAATCCCAGTGGCTCTGGAAGCTGAGGCAGAAGGATCATAAGTTCAAAGCCAGGCTCAGCAACTAGGTGAGGCCCTAAGCAACTTAGCAAGACTATCTCAAAATAAAAAATAAAAAGGACTCAATGTTTAAGTGCCCCTGGGTTCAATTCTTAGTACAAAAAAATTATAAAACTATTATAATACATTCCAACACAGCAAGGAAACTTCATTGTTGAAAATGTAAGAAAAAAATTCTGATGTAGAAATTATTTGTGATGTTATTTTAAATATAACTGTTTTTTAATGTGTAAGTCCCATGGAAAATACTCTTTTTTGCATTCCTCATGTCTAGCTCACTGTTCTCTTAATCAAGTCAAGCAACAATTATGTTTGTAAATGTGTAAAAGGAATTCATATAGATGAAATTTTTATTAGCTTATTTTATAACTCTGAAATGAGTAAATCAGGGACTTCAGGGTTTATGTTCAGTGCAAACAAAGTGAAATTAGTGAGAATTAAGGAGAAAAGTGTAAACAAGGAAAAGTTTATATATATTTAATACCTAAGGTGATTGCCAGGCATAGTGATGCACACCTATAATCCCAGCAATTTAGGAGACTGAGGCAGGAGAATCACAAGTTTGAGGTGGGTTTTAGCAACTTACTGAGACCCTGTCTGGATTATAAAATTTAAAGGGGCTGGAGAGTAGGGGCTGGGATGTAGCTCAGTGGTAAAGTGCCTCTGGGTTAAATCCCTAGTACTAAAAAACAAACAAACAAAAACCCTAAGGTGATTGTTATATTCAAATTCCTGGATCACAATCTTTAAGGAAAAATACAGACTTTACTTTTCTGGAATATGCTGATGTTAATCTATAGTCGACCAGGCCCAAGCCTGAGGTGGCATCTACTTCACTAGTGAGATGTCAGGTAAATACTCGTCTGGGGGGCGGTGTGGACCATGATCATAAGGATCCTGAAGAGATCCCATTGGTATTTTTGTTGGGCCTCAAAGAAGCAAGATGCAATTTCTGTCTTTCTTGTTTGTGTGTGTTACTGGAGATTGAACCCAGGAGCACTCACTCTGTCTCTGAGCTATATCCCCAGGTCTTTTTGTTTTGTTTGGTTTGGTTTGGTTTGGTTTTTGAGACAGAGTCTCCCTAAATTGCCCAGACTGGTTTTGAACTTGCATCCTCCTGCCTCAGCCTACCTAGTTGCTGGGATTTTAGGCTTGGGCCAATGTACCTAGCAAAAATATAATTTCTAAGTAATCATGTATCCTAGGGGACAAAGTTTGTCCCAGAAAAATCATGAAGTAGGCAAACTCCCTTGGGCTTCAGTGAATTTATGTCTAAAATTAAGGGGATTAGACTGTAAAAACTCCATGATGGCTTCACTTTAGCAAACCATGATATCCTTACCTCTTGGGGTTGTTGGAAGGATACACATCAGGTGTTTGGTACTGGGCCTGGCACAGAACAAGCCCTCCATGAAAGGGGTTGGAATAATTCTGGTGATGGTGATAATGCTCTTGGTTGACCAGCATCATATTTCTACATGTTGCTTCACCATGTGATCACCTACTGCAATGTCCTCCCTATGTCACTTTTTTTAAAAAAATATTTATTTTTTTAGTTTTCAGTGGACACAACATCTTTGTTTGTATGTGGTGCTGAGGATCGAACCCGGGCCGCACGCATGCCAGGCAAGTGCGTTACCGCAAGTGCGTTACCGCTTGAGCCACATCCCCAGCCCTTTTTTTTTTTTTTAATATTTCTTAGGTGTAGATGGACACAACACAATGCCTTTATTTTTATGTGGTGCTGAGAATCGAACCCGGGTCCCGCCCATGCTAGGCAAACGCTCTACCGCTGAGCCACAATCCCAGCCCCACTTTTTTTAATTTTTAAATTTTTGGTACTAAAGATTGAACCCAGGGTGTTTACCACTGTACAACATACCCAGTGTTTTTTGACTTGTGGGAATTTTTTTTTTTTGTACTGGAAATTGAACCCAGGGGTGCTTAACCACTGGGCCACGTACCAGCCCTTTTTTTTTTTTTTTTTTGTATTTTATTTTGAGACAGGGTCTCACTGAATTGCTAAGTGCATTCCTAAATTGTTGGGGCTGGCTTTGAACTCATGATCCTTCTGCCTCAGCCTCCCATGCCACTGGGATTACAGGCATGCACCACCACACCTGGGTCGCGAGTGCTTTTTATTTTTTATTTTGAGACAGGGTCTCCTTAAGCTGCTCAGTCCTCACTAAATTCCTGAGGCTGGCCTGGAACTTGCAATCTTCCTGACTCAGACTCCTAAATTGCTGGGATTACAGGTTTGCACCACCATGCCCAGCTCCTGTACCACTTTAAAAGCAAAAATAAACTCTCCTTGCCAGGCCTGATGGCCCATGCTTTTAATCACAGCTACTCTGGATACTGAGGCAGGAGGATTGCAAGTTGAAGGCCAGCCCGGACAATTTAGTGTGACCCTCTCTGAAAATAAAAATTAAAGAAAAGAAAAGGACTAGTGGTATAGTCTAGCTCAATGGTAGAAAGCTCCTGGGTTAAATCCTCAGGATTTCAAAATGTAAAATAAAGTTTAAAAAATGAAAAGAATACTATGCCATGAAAAAAATTAAAAATAAACAATAAACTACCCTAGTCTGCAAATTGGAAGGGTTAATTTGAGACCTTTCATTTGGAGACCAAGAACCTGGCGTAACTTTCTCAAACTTTGTTAACAAAGTTTAACAGCCAGTGAGATTCAGAGTTGGATCTCACTGAATCTGCATCACATAGAAACAGGTACCTCTCACAGGCAGGAAAGTAAATGTATTTTTAATCAATTGTGTTGACAGGATGCCTCCTGCAAGAGACACTAGCCTTAGATTCTTTTCACTGCTATCAAGATGGAAAACAACCCCACATTCATGAGGGGGAGAAGCAAACTGAGTTAATCAGACTCTAAGACCCACACTAATTGTTGATCAAGTAATGCCACAGTATTCAATGCTAAGGATTTCTGGCTGGTTCCAGTTCCTAAGACTCTGTTTAGCACAGTTAATGTTTCACAAACCAAAGGATTCAGTTGGTGAAGCAGAAAGAACCATAATCAGGAGATTGATATTTTAGTTCTGTTAAAATCTGTCATTGTCTACCTTCTCTGAGTCAGTCTTCACATTTCTAAAGTAAGGGAAAGGAAACAGGCCCTAACAATCATGCCAGGATCTCTGGAGAGAAAATGGTGTTGTTTTTTTTTTTTTTTTTTTTTTTTAAATAACAATTTGGGGTTTTTTTTTTTTTTTGTCTCCATTTATGTGAAGGTGGGTTAAAATAGTTGCAAAACAATACTAAAGGGATAAGGAAATGGCTCAATGGGTACAGCACTTCTCTATCATGCACAAGGCCAGGGACTCAAAAAACAAAAAAAGCTTTACTTAGACTAACTTGCACCAGAAAAATAGAAGTAGTGAGACAGGGCAAAAAACAAAAATGGAGTGTTTCAATCTGGACAAAGTCCATGCTTTAAAACAAGAACTTTTGTTAGCTGTTTTTTTTTTTTTTTTTTTTTTTAAGTATGAATTGCTTATAATTAATGTATTGGATGGGAGACTTTTTAAACAATTGCTCCAAAGTAGGCTGCATCCAAAAAACAAAAATGAAAAAAAAATGAATTGATGCTTTCTCATTTGTGTTTATTCTTGGACAATTTGTCCTGACATATTGAGGGCTTTAAAAGAATTATAGACTCACACTGCACTTACTCATCACTGTCCTCCCATCTATAGCTCAACTTCACTACCAGCAACACAAAATACAAAGATGTGTCCAGTTTCACTACAGCTCTGCGCGTTTACAAGTGTCGAGCGCTTGCTTTCGGAACGTCCTTCTGATTGGCTGAGCGAATGCCAGTGACATCAACCAACTTACTTTTGATTGGAAGGCTGGTTGCTGGGACTGTAGCGTTTGCAGGAAGTCACTTAACTGTTTGCAGGCTGGAAAACCAAAACTGAAGTTGTCTTTTGTCACAGGACGAGTGCAACTGACTAGGGAGGAAGTGTCCCGAAGCTCTGCAAACTGGCCGGTGAGCCAGGAGGCCTGGACCGGCGGTCGGACCCCGCAGCACCCCCAAGGATGAGCGGCCGCTTCTTCCCTGCCTCCCGGCCGTTACCCTTTTAAATGTCAGCGTTCGAGACTGTAGGGGTAGCACGAGGCAGTGGAACGGAACAGTCGGATTGGCCGCACGCCTCAGTTCTAGACGCACCTCTCCACCGAAAGGCCGTTCTGACTGGCAGGGGGAGAAAGTAAACAGAGTTGAATCACCCTCCCCACTGGCCAATTGGAGGGGGTTTGGATTGTGACGTGATGGGATTCTGCGAAATTGTTACTGAGCGAGAGAATGCCGGAACGGTGCGGACCGGCCAGAGCAGGGGCTCAGAAGCCGTCAGTGGACTGGGGGAAAAGTGTGTCTTAAACCTTTCGCTCGGTCCGGTCCTTGCCACCCGCGTCGGGGTGGTGGGGTGAATGTCTAGGGGCTTTGGCTCGACGGTGAGGCGGCTGAGGGCGTGTGCTTCTCTTGCAGTTTCCTCTTCCAGCGCCTCGGGGGCGTTTTCAGTCGTTTAAACTTGCGACCGCCACGTGTGGCATCTTTCCAAGCGAGCCGGCTTAGAGGGGCCGGCGCGCCTGTCGTGGAGATCGCGCCCGGAGAAGGGCAGGGACAGTGGCGAGAGGCAGCGGCGCGGCGGAGCCCCGGGCCGTGGATGCTGCGTGCGGAGGCGCTGACGGTTACGTAAAGATGAGGGGCTGAGGTCGCCTCGGCGCTCTAGCGAGTCGGAAGCGCCCCGCGCCCCCGCCCCCTTGGCCGCCGCGCCGCGCCGCGCCGCGCTAGTCGTCCGAGGCCAGGGCAGCCAGAGCCGAACCTCCGCAGCCACAGCCAACTTTGACCGCGCCTCCGAGGCTGCTGTCTCCCGCACCATGTCCGCGGCCGCCTACATGGACTTTGTGGCTGCCCAGTGTCTGGTTTCCATTTCGAACCGCGCTGCGGTGTCGGAGCATGGGGGCGCTCCAGAAACCGAGCGGCTGCGACTACCTGAGCGCGAGGTGACCAAGGAACACGGTGACCCGGGGGACACCTGGAAGGATTACTGCACGCTGGTCACCATTGCCAAGAGCTTGTTGGATCTGAACAAGTACCGACCCATCCAGACCCCATCGGTGTGCAGCGACAGTCTGGAGAGTCCTGATGAGGATATGGGATCCGACAGCGACGTGACCACCGAATCTGGGTCGAGTCCTTCCCACAGCCCGGAGGAGAGACAGGATCCTGGCAGCGCGCCCAGCCCGCTCTCCCTCCTCCACCCTGGAGTGGCTGCGAAAGGGAAACACGCCTCCGAAAAGAGGCACAAGTGCCCCTACAGTGGCTGTGGGAAAGTCTATGGAAAATCCTCCCATCTCAAAGCCCATTACAGAGTGCATACAGGTTAGCAGCTTCGTCCTTTCCCCCGCGCTCTGGGGTTAACCTTTGGCCAGGCAGTGTACCTTGGCGTTCAGGACACCGCACTCGGCTTCGAGGGTGCGAACATTTTGAATAAGATGCTGTTTAACTCTTTAATAATTTAATCGTGCAGACGTGGAAAGCTCACTCTCTCCTTAATTGTCTCTGGCGTCTAGAAGCCACGGAGAGCCTTACACTGGCGGGCAGAGCGAGTGCTTTGCGTGGCTTGGCGGGGATCGGGGCCCGCCCCGCCCCTGGCCCGCCCCGCCCCCGGGACTCCGCATCCAGCCTTGGTGGGGCCACCCCAGCTGTGTAGACGCTGGCGGTAGGAAAGTCAGATGGCGTATCTTTAATTTCATTCCGTTGTGGGGTCGCAGCGAAGTGGACGAAACGTGGGGGGAAGCTGCACATTTAGGGATGACTAAGGACTCACTTAGCTGGATGCCTGCTACTTTTCAGGGTTCGCCAAGGTGGTTTTAAATTTGGCCTAGAGTTCCCCTGAGAGGTTTAAAATGACACTGCTTCAGGCAGCAGAGGAGTTTGATCAAGTAGTGGTTGGTGGGTTAATTTCATCACTAGTTAACCTTCTCAGTGAGCGAAATTACAGAGCTGATTCTTTCCCCCCTGTGACTGGGGACGTGCCCTCCACCCCTGAATACCGTGGTTAGTGAGGTGTGGTCCTTGCCCGAGGTCAAGGCTCTGTAGTGAATGTTGGGCGGCTCTGGAGGCTGCCAGGTCGACTCGCTCTCGGGAGAACAAGCAGCAAAGCTGGACAAATGAATGTGACTGCAAAGACATCTGCTGTATAAGCTGGGCTTTTGGAGACTTGTAGGGACCTTGGTTAGCCAGTTCTGTTGGTTCTATTTAACATGCACTGAAAAAGGTGGAAAGCATTTCGACATCCTGACAATCTTTAGAAAGGTTCTTCTCTAACTGCTGTTCTGATAAGGTGGTGGTGGGGGGTTGGTCCTCAACAGCTTTTCCCTCTTGTCCTAAAGACGCCATGTTTAAGAGGTTGTTGAAGTTGCTTGGAAAGGTCGCTTTTTGGTGTAAAGGGTTGATACTTTGAAGAATTGACCCTGGGCCTTTGGGTTTCAAAATGATACTTTGTTGGGATTTTCCGTTTTGCTTTACTTTTGCTTTTGGTTTTTAAAAGAAAGGCTATGTAACTGCCTCTCAATTTGTTTCCTTAGGAAAGTGATTCTTGTGGAGGTGGCTGCTGGCACAGGAATAAGTCTGAATTTCTTCTATGGTTAATGCAAAATTAGGTCCTGTTTAGGGTCAGCATCTAGGTTGCCATAAAACAGCACCTTTTAAAGTTTCTATCTGTAAAGTTGATAAAAGGCATGTGCCTGCATTGGGGGTTGTGACCTTTAGCGTGGCTCTGGGGGTGAAGTAGGGGTGTATCCACCAGGGTGTTACTCACTGGCAGCTGTTGGGCGGGCCTGGCCATGTCAGCCATGTTCCCGGAGTTCAGTTGTTCACATAGACACCCACTGCCACCTTGAGCAAAGACATTTTCTCCTTCAGGGAGCTGTCCAGTTGTGCAGCTGCGAAGGTCCGCAATGCCTCTGTGAGCTAGAGTCTGTCAGACTCAGGAATAGGATTTCCAGGGTTCTGGGCCATTCGGCTCAGTGCTTTTCTTAAGCATTTATAGAAATGGCTGCTTATGTGTGCGTGCATGCGTGCTGCTCTTTAATTCTCCATAAGGCAAGTCGGCTCAGCTGTTTTCAGGAGAACCTTTTACACAGTCCAGAGAGGAAAATGAAGGCAAATGTTCATCCCATTTTAAGTGCTACAGTCTTTTAAACTAGTGATATGGTGAATGCTAGTGTGTCTTATTTATGTGGGTTTTTTTTTGGGGGGGGGGGGGTGGAATCTGATATCCTAGCACATGGTTGGATAAAATCCTCAGCCTCTGTAAATGTTACCAGAAGCAGGACTATTAAGAGACTTGTAGAGGAGGTTTCCTTCATTTGGAAGTTTCAGATAACAGCTTCAAGTTAAATCCACTTCTGGGTGGGGAAAAAAGAGCTTCCTGATTTTCTTTTCTTCTGGTAGTTAAATCCAGAAGGTGGACAGAGATAGCATTTAAAATGTCTGCATTCTGTGAAGGTTTAAGAGCTAGAATCCCAGCCACACCCCCTTGCTCAGTACTGCTCGACACTCCCTTGAGAATCCCTGTGCTTGCTCACTTCCTTATAGAGCCTCCTACAGCTGCTGCTTCCATAGTAGACCAGCAACTTTAGAAGCTGAAGTTTTTCAACAAATTTTCAATCTTTTCGGTGTAGCTCCCTGCACAGTGTCCTGAGAGGAAGGAGAGTTGAGGTTAGCTGAATTGGGTTGTGACTTGTCCTTCTATTTCGTAGTTGTAAGACCCTAAGCAAATTACTTTAACTCGGAGTTTGCAAACTAGAGGTTTGTTGCTGAATTTGCTTGTGGATTTGTTTGGCCTGGCCAATACAGAGTGTATAAAAATTTAATTAGTTACCAATGTCTAAAAATCAGGATTTCAGCACAAATCTAGAAATCTGGCTTCGGTGGAAAATTTTAAAAATCTGGCAAGATGGGACCTGAATTTCTGTCTAGCAACAATCAGTTTGAACTAATCATTTATTTGTGGGCCAGTGCCTCTTATTTTAATTGTTAACATGATCTCTGCTGGCATTTTTTTTTTTTTTTTACAACCTCTATTTTGAGCCTCCATTTCTTAATCCACAAGATAGGGATACTATTCTAAACTCACAGGTTCTTGTGCAAAGTTAACATATATAAAGTGCCCAGATGTAGCTAGGGTGTAGCTCAATGGTAGAGCACTTGCCTAGTATGCAGAAGGCCATGGATTTGATCCCCCAACACTGCAAAATTAAACACATAAAGCACTTAAGAGTCCACATCCTTGAATAGTGGTAAATCCTACAGTTTGTGTGTAATATAAAAGGTGTCCTCAAAGTCAGGGAACACAGGATAAACTTTTTTTCCCTCTCAGTACTGGGAATTGAACCCAGGGATGCTTTTTACCACTGAGCTACATCCCAAGCCATTTTTATTTTTTTAATTTTGAGACAGGATTTCAATAAATTGCCAAAGCTGGCCTCAATTCTGTGTTCCTCTGCCTCAGCCTCCAGAGTTGCTGGGTTTACGGGTGTGCTCCATCACTCCTGGCATGTGTTAGTTTACATTTTCAAGTAATATGTTCAATTTGATTTCCCTTACCTTCTGGACCAGATATATCTGTTCAGTTGATAAACCTAAAGTTTAAACAATGGATCAGCAAATACACTCTGTCCTGTTCTCAGACTTTTTAGACATGGGTAGCAGACCAAAATGAATCAGACCATACTGCTGTTATTTGAAAATGTAACATTAAGTGTATCTTAAGTCTCCTGACTTTGTGGATCCAGATCCGCTGCACAGGGCATATATGTATATTTTGGGGTGGGGTGGGGGTGTATCCTTTGGAGAAGGAAACAACTACATCTTATTCCAGATCTGAAGTCATCAGAACAGGATGATATAGAGTCACACTGGGTTGATATACAATCAACAGAAACCTTAGACCTTGTTTTCATGCCTAAGAGTATTTTATGTTATTCTTTTTGGAGGGTAAGTCAGCTGTCCTCAATAGGTGACAGTAGGTTGAGCTGATGATACTGGTAACTGGAGTCTGAAAAATCCATCCCAAATACCAACCATCGCGGCCCAATTTAGAGGGAAAAAAAAACACGACAGCTTTTATTAATAAAACAAAAGGAAACTTCTGTAAAATAAGGAGTGGTGAGAGCTGCAGCAAACCCAAGGGGCTGCCTGAGCTGCTCCTTATCCTGTTGGACTGTTTTCTTGGGGTATTTAGACTTTCTGGTAGAAGGGATCTGCATAGCCCCCACAGCAGAAGTCGTTCTCCAATAGAAGAAATAGGTTTTTCAGCTCCTCTAGGAATGTCCATTACTGGTCCTCTCTAACTCAGGTAAAAAGTTTGCTTACACAGGTGCCAGATTTTTCTGTGCCTCTTGAACTCTTCTTCCAAGCTTTGGAGTCACCTATTTGGTCAAGGGGAGTCTAGGACCATCAGAGGTGTGAGTGGGATCCATTTCCTTTCCCCAAGGGGCAAGGCTTCAGGGACAGGCTCTTGCTCTGACCCCAGGCCCTGACTAAGGGACCTTGGCTGCCCATGAAGCCACACCTGCCTGGTCCTTACCACTTTCTCTTTTCTTCCTGAGTGGAACAGAGACCCTGTACCCTGATCCTTAAAGAGGAATTCTCTCTGCCCTATTCTTTCCAGAGGACTACCCAGACTGATTGGTAGAGTGGCATTTCATAACAACTAAGCCTAAGGGGGGCTTGCACAGGTAAATGTTTCTCTACCCTTTTCCCATTCTCTCTCCCCTAATGAGACTAGACTTTTTAATAAACGATTGCCCACACCTCTGCCATGATATTTTAATACCACAGTCACATTATAGAGCTGTTTATGGACTGTGACCTTTTAGAAAGCCACAAACTATTGTGAAAACTTAAGTTGTTTTTTTTTTTTTTAAACCCTCCAAAGCACTAATTTTTGCCCCCTTGGGGACAATGTCACATACCCCCCCCCCCCCAACACTCCCCAATAGAATGAAAACACACTTGTAAGTATCCTGTTAGGGAGAAATAACGATCTGCATTGGAGAATGGAGCTAAGGGGTGTATGTAGATGGCCTCTGCAGACAGAAGGTTTCTAAGCATGCAGGGTTCCTATGGGTTTGCTTCTGTGTTGGACCAAAGGTGAAGACTCCCATGAATCCAGAGAAGGATGGCCCCACAGCTCTCCAGCCCACAGCCAAAGTCACCCCATAAGGATGGGGAGGGTAGGCATTGCTCTTATTCCTAGTAGTGAAAGGGGTAAAGGACCAGTTGCAATCCTTCCCTCATTTCTCACTTGTCCCCCATCATCCTCCATCTATCTGCCCTCGCAATGACAAGGTGGAGATGGCTTCAGAGGAAGT